GACTGGAGGGAACTACCCCGTAGCCACAGTCATAATGAACCCCTCTCAATAAAGTAACCCCCTCCCAAGCCTAAATATTAGGCTGAGCCCACAGAAAAAAGAAGCCTGAGGGGCTTCCCTCCAAACAATACCCCTCCTATTTACAGTATTGCTTTTGCTCGCAGCCACAGAGCAAGGGATGGATGCCCAGTCCCTCCTGGTGCATCCACAGGGCTAGTTGGTTCTCCTCTCCCATCCTCCCCAGTGGTTAACCACCAGCAAGGAGGAGCAAACCACAGGGAGGACAAGCCACAGGGATAGCCACCGGCAGCACAAGTCTGCTGCTAGGAGCAGGAAGAAATGGTGCCTATATACAGCAGAGAACTGCCCCCCTTCCCTCTTGGGACCTGCAGCTCTACGGTTTCTACCCCTTCCCCATCGTTGTGGGGCAGCTGGAGAGGAGTTGGGCTGGGAGGCAGGGAAGGACCGGTAACCTCGGTGTCTTCCAGATGAGATGTTCCCACAACTACAGGCCAGACCTGTGTCCCATCCTTCCAACTCCTAAGGGTGATACAGGGAATAGGCTGGACTCTCAGGGGGAGCACCTACAGATTTTGGGTCTGCTCCTGATCTCTGCTACTGGGGCCAGTGTTGTGTGGAGCAGGGTGGCTGCCTGGGGGATGGAGCTGCAAGGCGTACCCTGCTTCTTGTGCTCTGAGAGATGTCTGTGCTGGGAAGAATTGTCCTATTGGCTATTGCTTAATTATTTCCCTTTAGGGACCGTCTTTACACAGAGACCTTACTTCTATCCTGGAATAAACTGTGCTTCCACAGCTGTGTCTTTACTTGAAGCAAAATCATGAGGAGTGTGGAATTATGTCCATATGAGCTCTATCTGAGGGTCACTGCTGCCACCTAGGTGAAGCTTTTAAAGACAGCCAGGATCTGAGATGGGTGTGCAGAAGACACACTAAGGTATAGTCTACGTAAAGTACAGCAAGACCAGTTTTCAGAGAGCTCAGTCTGGCCCCAACCAGTTCTCTGCACACCAAGACCCCCTTCCCATCTGAGTGGGAGGCAAAGCACAGCAGTGCAGGGCAGGACCCTTTCCTGCTTGATTGCACCCCTGTGCAAGAGCCAGTCGCACGCTGGCTGTCCCAGCAGCGGTATTTCTTTCCAGGGGGAGTCCTGCTCCATTCCTTTGTGCCACAAAGATGGTGTCAGCAAAAGCCTTTGCAATGTGGTTGCAGAGGAACAGAGGAGGGGTCAGCAGGACCTGAGGAGTGAAACTGGCTTTCTTCTCCTCCTCCTGCCCAGGGTGAAATGGCAAAGTTCTCCTCTCCCCCTCGAACCAGCCCAGCTGGGAACAAGGGCTCTCAAGATGCCCTAGAAGCCTACCTCCTCCATCTTCCCTCCCACAGGGACTGCTCCTGGGGGCCAGGGACTGGGCATGGCTCCCCTCCTGCCTCACCAAACACTGGTCTGAGAAGAGTGGCGAGCAGGACATACAGGCGAGGGGAACCACCTCCACCTCCATCCAAGGAGGCTGGGGAAGGAGTGACACTCATGGCACTGCCCCTCTGCTCTGCCGAGTCTCTCACTGCAACCTAGAGGCATGCCTGTGGTTTTCGATTGTACCTGCAAATCTTCCTCCCTCCCTTCCCATTTTATCTTTGTGTTACCCCCCCCAATACTACTTCTTCCCAAACCCTCTAAAAATAAAGCACCCCTCCCTCACTAGCACATGGCAGAGAAAAGCCCCCGTGTCTTTGCATGGGGAATGCTGTTCCTGCTCCCATCCAGCCCCCCCTCCACCCTTGCATGCCTGCATGCTGACTCCAGCACCATCCCCCTCCCTGAGCCACCAGCCCCTCTAACCCAATTCAGATGCCTCCCACATCTACTCCAGCCTTTAGCGACACCGTCTCTTCTAGGAAGGTCCCTGACCCTTCTTATTCCTTCCTTTCTGCCTCCAACACCCTCCCCTCTGCCCTGCTGGTGCCATCGCCCCTCTCCTGCCCACCGGCCAGACTCTGCCCTCTGCAGCAAGGCAGGAGGGAGAGGAGGGAAGGGGGGACCTTCCTGTCACAATGCGGTGACAGATTTTGGAAGAATTTGGTTCTGACAGGTAGTTTTGGGAGGGAGGAGAAAGAAGAGGTGATGGGGAAACCTTTTTTTCTCTTTTTTTTTTCCTTTTTTAAAAACAATAAATAAAAACAGATGACCCAGAAGGCTGGAGCATAGCTGAGAGCCACCTCTTGTGCCACTACACACCTGTCTGGTTTGTGACTCGGCTTTCTGCCAGCAGTGGGAAAGGGGGCAGAAGGGAAAGGGGAAGGGAAAGGGGCATCGGTGGCTCAGTAGTTCTGCGTTTGGTACCCCTGTGTCTCGGTGTCGAAAGCATCTGCTGGAGGGGGCTGCTGGTACG